ATCTGATTCAGATGGGATACCCTGGATATAACTTATCTCAATTATTAGAAATGTGTTGGAATCATAGAGAAACTCGGGAATGGAGAAATGATATACTTGCAAGATTCCTCCATCACCCAAATTTAACTCCATCGAAATATAGGCCAAATGCCTTGTATGATGCATTCAGTAAAGCAGATGCTCTGGGTCCAGAACATATACTTGCTATAGTGAGAACACTGCAATAAAAAATAAAAATGAATCATAAACCTTAATATAGCCTGAGTTGCCACATAAATTTTTTTTGTTATATCCTATATATTAGTAAATTTTAAATCAACATTCTGGTTACTCTATAGGTATACATAAACTCTTTTTTTCTGAGCATGGAAGGAAAAAGCATAATTAATTTCGATTTGAAAAAAGAATATTTATGGTATATATAACCTAAAGACTGTTCATAATCTACCCAACCTACTATAACATTAGACCATGTCAGCTATTACAACAAAAATCATTGAAAAATATGTCCTTACCCCAAAGATGAGTGACTCCGAACTTAGCCAATATGCCTCAGAATTTCTTGAAAACCTTACTAATGATAGAAAGCAAAATCAAGATCGATGACGTCTTCGAGATGGTTTTAAATTTAGCAGTGAACAGGTAGGTGTATTGATACCTAATCAGAGAAGTGGAAAAAATAAAACTATAAATTTGGTTGAAGGTAATTGTGGAATAGCTATAACCAAGCTCCCAAAAAGTTTAGAAAAAGAGATCGTCAGAGAGAAAGCAAAACGAATCTTGCAAAATAGATATGGGTTTAGTGAAGATCAAGTAAATGCCTTATTCACAATCCCGAAAAACGAAAGTAGACACAGTGTAACTACCTCAGATAAAAATGTAAATATTGTAATCGCCAATCAACTCTCTAAAGGAATGGAGAAAGAAACAATTGGGGATATGGCGCAACAGATTTTACACGATAAACTTAGCATTAGAGATGTAAGAGCTAAAGCTTATACCTTAGCCCTATCAGCAAAAAATGCTAATGCTGGCTCATCACGTCTCACTCGTCTTCGTAGAGAATTAAGGAACCTTAATGCATCACTTGAGATAATTGAAGTTACAAAATTTTCAGATATTACAGAAGATGCCAACAAAATCCAAAGTGTCAATCGGAAAAAAGCTGAAGCTAAACGTATCGATTATCCAGATGAATTTACATTAGAATCAGTCAAAGAAAGATTAGATGCGTATGATATTAAAACTTTACCTGATTGTCAGGCTCTTGCTGATGTTATGGTGATGCTTTGTATTCGTCCTGCTGAACTTAAAACTTTACGCATTACAGATGCTGGAGTGACGGGATATGCGAAGAATCAAGGTCAGCCAGATATTCCCAGAAAATTTAGATCGATAGAAAAGAATCAAGAACGAGCCAAAGAACTACTCACTTGGATTCAGCGTGCTATATCATTTGGACGAATGGGTGATTCAGGTAAGCCAGGAGTTAAATGGTTCAATAAATTCTTAAAAGATTATGATTTAATTTCTAAATATTTACGTAAATTAGGAGCAGTTTACGGTGCAGTAGCACATGAGGCTAAGAATATGGCCCACGCTTATACAATTGCTGGAGAATGTCTACGTCATTCATCTGATAATCATACTTCTCCTGTGCAAAATTACGTTGTAGTCAATTATAGAAAAAGAGGAGTTCCTTATAAGCAAGCAAGACAATTTTATATCTATGATCAAGATTAATTGCGCTTCTTCACTTTTACCATATCTACAGTAAAATCTTCATTATCATAAGAGGATTCAGAGCCGGACCCAGATTCAGATAAGGACTCAGATGCGGTATCGTTAAAAATTGGTTTTTTTCTTTTAGCCTCAGATAGTGTACGATTTCTTCGAGAAATATCAGGGTTTGCTATCAAGTTTATAATATCCTGCTGAATTTCGGGTTTCACTATTACCATTTCAAGATTTATGATTATTTTCTAATGTAGCTTTATTCATTGTCAATATCGTATAGTAATATGTACCTTGGTACTAGCTTTACTATTATTTATTATATTAATACATGATAAAATTCAAAATAAATTATAATTATTTTTCGGCGATGTCATGTGTTTTATTTCAAAGAAATGGCTCTTCAAGCCTAAATCTATGAATCGGAGATCAGCATAGAAGTATTTCGGTACTAACCAACTCACTAACCGCACTTATTGCAGAGCAATAACCCTTTGGGTCTACCCTTAAGCTAAATTATTTATCCATGATTGCCAGCAAAGATCGAGTGATCCTGACCCATACTAAATAATTCGTGAATGAACAGATCGCCAAATTCGAAATGAGATTTCATAAAATCTGCAAACTAATTTTTTTAATCATGAGGGTGTTTAATGTATAAAAATGAGCTAAGTATAAAAAAAAACTGTGAAATACTTATCTGGTTATACTTTATATTAACGCATACAAATCTAATCACATAAATTTTACTCTTGAATATGTCTACCTCTACTTCCACATCAACTGCTCCTATTAATAACATCAAAAATCTCGCATATAATATTCTAAAAACCTTCAAGGATGGCATTATTAAGGGTAAAAAAATTACAGAACTAGGGCCATGCTCCGAATGTGACAATGATATTTTAATATCTCCTCTCAAAGCATTCACATACCTAGCATGCGAACACCTTTTTCATAGACTCTGTATCGAAAAAAAGCTTTTACTTACTGTTCCAAACACATGTCCATTCCCGGGTTGTGGAAAGAATGTGAAAATATTAGATCAAGCCAATCCCCTTGGCACTGTTTCCAATTTGCCGTTAACTAATCCCAAGGAGGCCTCCCAATCAACTGGAATTTCACCTTTGATGGGCGAAACATTCGTCCTATCTTCACCACCTATACGGATACCACCTATACGGATGGAAGGGATCGAGGATACAGCAACCCAACAAGTCAAAAGTAATTTGAGGTGTGCCAAATGTTCTGAAGATCTTTCTTCATGTC